CTAACCACAAGGTCAGCAGTTCGAATCCGCCAGCTTCTCTGAGGGAGAAAGAGGTGGCTTTCTACTCCTATAAACAGCCTTGGATACCCACCGGACAAGTTCTACCCTTGCCTACAGGGGCCCTAGGAGTTGGCAGGGAGACTGGTTTGAGTCTTTACAGGAGTAGACCACCATGTCTGCCCTTCTGCAGAGCCAGCAGTGGGTTGGAACCACCGGCCTTGGAGTCAGGCCAAGAGCTTAACTAGTGAACCATCAGGGCTCCTTCAGGGAGGTGGTAGAGTCCCTGTTTTACAGATGAGGAGATGGACGTTCCAGGCGGCAAGATGATTGGGCGTAAAGCGGTGGAGCGGGGATTCAGACATGGCTTTACTCAATCCCAGAAGATAGAGCATCTTGGTGTTCATCACACAGCGAGTTCAGGATGCAGAGAACCGTGTCGCCCGCCTGCCCCCCTAACACAGGGAGTTGCTCTGAGACTCAAACTGTGCATATTGAGTAGCTTGGGCACCTTCCATTGTTAATAGCTTCTTCAATCAGCGTTCAGCCTGTCATTGGAGCAATTTTTTTGCAAAGGTCACATGCATCCTGCCAACCATGCTTCGCTCTTGTGGATGCAGGAAGTGAATGGGAAGGCAGGTGGGTGACCTTTGAGGTGCAGAGAAGGACAGAGGTGTGAAGGCCCCACTGTGCCAAATGGTTTCTTTGGGGAAGAGGCTCAGAAAGGTCAGGCCACCTGCCTCAGGACACACAGCTTAGACAGCAGAGCGGGATTTGAACGCAACGTCTGCTGACTCCATGGTCCATAAGCTGCCACTCTGCTGGCCTGTGTGTGCGGGGCCCTGGCAGGACGGTGGGTTGTCGGGCTGCTAACTATGTGGGAGAGAAGTAGAAGCATTAACAACCCCGGAAACCCTGAAGGGCCGTTCTCTGTTCTTCTGCTCTGTAGGGTTTGCTATGAGCTGGAAGGGGCTCGATGGCAGTGGGGTTTTTTTGTTTGTCTACCCTGCGTGTGAAAGCCACACCTTCTCTCTACTCAGTGGACCTTCTGATGGGAAAACTGGGCCCATTGGATCGTCTCCCTAGTTGCTCACACAATCTGGCCCCCCCACAGCTGATCATGGTCCTATGTACACAGCCTACCAAACCCAAACCGAACTGGATGCCGACCCACAGTGGCCCTATAGCACAGTGTGAAACTCTGAAAGTTTCAGAGACTGTACCTGTTTAGGGAGTAGAAAGCCTGTTTTTCTCCAGCGGAGCAGCTGGTGGATTTGAACTGTGTGCCTGGCACACTGCAGCCCAATGTGCAACCAAATGCCACCAGGGATCTTCTACACGGCCTACAGCACAGGTCCAGCACACAGCCCTCCGCGCAGGTCCTTGTCCACCTCGCAGCTCCCCTGC